TTTTTTTTTTTTTTTTTTTATTTCTTTCCACGCTACAATTGTATAAACCACTTGCGAGCAATATTGTTTGGATAACCAGATTGCGATTTGCAGGACGTGAGAAAAATAGGATTCATTCGCGATGTGCATTTTGAAAGATAAGAGAATTTTTTTGTGTATTATTCTATTGTAATAATTAATTTTGATAATTTTGAAAATTTTCTTTTCTTTTTTTTTTTTAAATACATGAATAAATACATGAGTTTTTTTCTTAAAAGTTAATTGTAATTTGTATTGAAATTGTAATTTGATTTTAATTTGTGAAAAGATTTCTTAGAATTAATAATACTGGCAATTAATATTCGAGTACCCATTAATAATGTTTCATTAATGTATATAATTGTATGAAATTTATATTTTAATAAATATTTAAAAATGTGCCATTTAATATCTCTGAAATAACATCTCTGAAGAATTTTTTTAATATAGATAAGTATCTCGTTTAAATAAACATCAATTATGTATAATGCAAAACAAACATTGAATTATCATCAACTTATGAATAAATATAGACAATTGAAATCTGAATTATATATCAGCACGCAAAGTGAATATACCCATAAAGTTTATAAATTTATAAATGTATCACATTGTAATTTCAAACAAGCCATCCTACTATTTTGAAATTAATGACAATCTGTTTAATAGATTATAAGCATGTTGAATTATTTTAAATAAAAATGTGAACTCTGGTCAAGTTTCAGATATCATTATAATTAAGAGAAAAATTCTTAACTACTTCAATTTATATAATGAACAATTTCTTTTTTAAATTAAACAACTTTTTTATATAAATAAAATTGAAACTAAATTATTGTATTTTAAAAAAAAAATAAGTTAATTTTTTTTATAGAGAATAAAAGGAGCTGCATCAATTACTGAATTAATAATTATATGACTCCATTAAAAGAATATATATCCCAGCTATGACCTACTAAAAATATTCTATATTATTATATATATGCTTTTAACAATACTTGCATAGATAGTACATATAGTTACTATATGTGAGTTTATGTTTTAAAATATTCGTAGCGTGAAAATGATTCCCTTTTATCACATCTTTCTTTACTTTTAGATCTATTTTATTCCTCTCAATTTTTTTTAATAATTTCAGGCTTTCAAAAATTTTGAAAAAATTCAGAAAATACTCACTAACCTCTCCATTTCAATTAACCAATAGGTTTTCAAATTGATTTTTAAAAAAAAATCTTTTCGATAACAATTAGAATACTAAAAATAAAAATCATTCAAAACTATACGGAAATAAAATAAAATGGACGATTTCTCGTTCTTTAACAAGATCAAAAAAAAATTCAAGATTCAAACACACTATTTCAATAAATGTATAAATTTTTTACAATTCAATTCTTTTCACATAAAATTATTTATGTGAAAACCAAAGATTGATTTTCGAAATTCAAATACAATTAAAAAATGATATTTTAGTAAAAATAACTTAGATAAACCGCAAAAAATTTTAACAAAAGTTCACGAGAAAGTAGTCGCATAATGTCGCTTCGATAAACTCTCGAAAGCATCTTCGAACTCGAAATGTCGTTTGCGAAATCGATACTTGCAATACGTATATTTTTCTATTCGAATGAGCACAACCGACCGACCGTTAAAAAATTTAACGATGCTCATGTATGGAATGAGGATTGAAATGCGAAAAATTTGTGGCACGCCTTACTCGGAAAGATTACGCGCGTGCATCGTCGAGAATGATTTCCTCTCTAAAAATAACAAGCGACACGCAAATAGCCGGCATATGCATTGCACCTAATAATGCTGCTATTTATGCAGTCAGGGAAGTAGGCCGAAGCATTAGTAGCAGTTAATGTGACGTTTCTTCGAGTAAAATGCTACTATCGATAATACTAATAAGATTTTATGAGAAAATTTCATAAAAAAATATTTTTTTAGAAATTTAAAAATAATTATTAAAAATAAAGAAACGAATAAATCGAAAAGAATATGAGAAACTTACGCAATTAAAATTATCTTCAATAAAAAATCATCGTCTCGTTGAAAAAATTTTCGTGCAGATGATAGTTGATTATATGCGAAACACACAATATGTCTACTTCCTTTGTAAAGAAACGAGTTAAGAAACAACAAATATTCGTTTTCAATTTTACATCGATTATAAAAAAATATATATTTTTCTGTTCATATGTCACTGAACACTTATACGTTTCAGAATATGAATAAATTAATGTTATAAATGTGATATTAATGCTGATTAACATTTACGTTATAAGAATATATACATTTTATAAATTTACATTAATTCATTAAACATCAAGCACCAACAATAACGACTATTGAAAAGATGCCTAAATAGATTAATTCACTGTTTAGTTCATTTCACTATTATATCGAGATACAAAAAAAATATATTAGTATAATAATCACTACGTAATTTTAATCTATGACAACAGAATATTAAAAAAGAATAAAATTCGGAAAACAAAGCGATGTACTGCGCACAAGTGATGTTACACCGTTTATTCGAAAAGGTTATGAAAAGAAACAATAAAAGAAAGGCGGGAAGTGCCATCTATTGAAAATATAAAATAGGTGGCGTAATTAATAGAAGTCCCTATGACGTTATCGTATAAGGTTGCTGATTGGCTGATTAACCATCTAAAATATTTTCATCTTTCCAAATTTTATAAAATTATATGATTTTACGATTAGAAAAAGTTTATTACTATGATATTAAAAAAAAATTCACAATTTTATATTAATCATTAATACATTAATAAGCTTATATTTATAAACTATGTTAAATATGAGTATGTATATGTGCAACATAGTGAAATGGCTGACAATCATTCGAATCAGATAAATAGAAACTATAACTAATGTTTCAGTTACATTCAAAAGGTAAGCTTTGATATATTCGTTACTTTTATTTCAAAAAAATTTGCAATATTCCTAAAATTCATTTTATAAATTTATAGATGAAATTGTAAGTTTATCAATTTCTCTTAAAAGAAAATTTCACAAAGTGAATTAATGATAGAGACAAATTAGTCTTATAACCTCTTAATAAATACTCGATCTTTACATAATTTAGAAGATAGGGAATATTTCATATAGTATCTATATAGAATTATATAGCATTCCTTACATATACTGTGACTAATAAATTATTCAACTCGGACGAAACATTCCATAGATAGGAAATAATTTATCATTGAGATAATCTTGCAATTTATCCACGGAAGTATTGCAAATTCATTAAGCTCATATCCTTTTCTTCATTCTGAATTATTATCAAATAATCTAAATCGATGTACTACTACAACACAATAATAGCGATAATTTGAATATCAATCTATGCAATAGAAAATCTAACATTACATTCACTCTCGTGATCTAATTTAAATTCCTTGAAATATTCTGAACTGAAAAATTTCCCATATAAAATGACACGCGATCTGAGATCACTATCACTTCGAGTGCAATATTTATTCCTATTTTGCATACTGTCCAAGATATCAATTGATCGAGCAGGTATAGTTAAACTATTACTTTGGATTTTTATCAGGTAATATAGCGTGAAGTAGACCGACTTTTCTTTCTTTCAAGTATGTCAACAATATTTTGCTGAATTAAAATTCAAATTATTAATGAATATATTATTCATATATAATATATAAATATATTATAAAGAAAGCTAATTTTATCGTTGACAATTTCTAGGTTAAAAAAAAATGTCTAAAGAAGGATATGCCAGAAAACCAGATAAATTATGCAGTTCAAACATGTTCGAAGTTGATGAAAAAGAGATCCACGTATTCGGAAATGAATGGCGCGTTCGAATTGCGAGTGTAACTGCGTCGAGGACAAAATGAAAGACGCTTCCGTGATAATTTCCGATCGTGACGTTTCGCATCGTCAAAACTGCAATAGCGTACTTTATTATCGTGGAATCAACACGGGTCACTCGGTTGAAAATTCTCCAACATATGTGTCCAGAGAAAAAAGAGATAAGCGAAAATATATAGCAATGGAAATTCGAACAAGAGACGAATCAGTATCACAGAACGTTGCATTTTTGACTTTAATACATCGATTAAAAAATTCTGTTTTGTATATTTTCAGGAAAAATTTCCATGAGAATAGCAGTTGATCATTCCTGATTTAAGCAATAAATATATTTAAACATTCCTATGATAACCGATAGTTCAAGAATCCAACATGGTCATCAATCATTTAAGGTATCGTACAAATTTAAATATATAATCTCTATCAAAAATAATTTTAAAACAAAATAGCAAATTAATCACTTACGATTCAATTTCAAAATTTCAAAAGTCCAAACTCGCCGTCTGGAACAAGTATGATTAATAATGACTAGTAAAACCGGAAACTGGAGTAACGAGACAAAAAAACAGGACACATAACGCAGCCTCATTAAAAGGTATCAAGTAGAAACTATTCTCTGCAACAGGAAATTAACGAGGAACGATAAGAACAATCGTTTTGCTGTCATATAGTAGACGATAAAAAAGGGAAGGAGGTGAAGATAAAAAGGGGAGCATAAACGTCGCATTCATGCGATCGATAGGCTTCGATGCCACGTTTCATTCTGCATGTACTTTGTTTTCGTAATGAATTATTTAAAGGATTGCGGTACTTCGCGGCAACTTTGAAAAAGGAAGAACACGCGTATCCAAAGAGACAAAGAGAGAGAGAGAGAGAGAAAGCAATCGAGAAAAAAAAAGGAAGAATAATGGAAACCGACGAAAATTCTGAATAATACATGAGAAACTGAGAGTATTTTGATACTTATGCAGGTGGTGGGGTCGTGGGCGGATCAAAGATGGATTTTTACGATACACCCGAACGAAGAAGCAAACGGAAATAAAACGGTACGGTCAGGAACGATATACAGGTTTTAAAAGGAAGTGGAAACATGTATACTTTCGAACAGTGCCTTCCTTTTAGTCGAAGGTTTTACGATGACGTTTATTCGCGGTGCTCGTCTCGCGAAACGCGCGCCATTGGGGGTAAAAATAACCTCGTAAGACGTGAAACCTTGGTGATAACATTTTTACGATTTTCGCAATTTCCGAGTTGGGAAAGGTGAGTAGATATTTATTTTTTTTGTTAACACGTAACTGTATTTTATTTTATCTTTTTTTTTTTTTAGAGATGGCGTCCAGCGTGACCAAGGGGCAAATGGATCTAGATATCTATATCCTGCTCGTGATATTTTATGCAATCATACAAATATATGCATGTCCAGGAGTACTATTTCGAAATTTCAATTTTGAAACAAATTTCAAAGAATATCTAAATATATATATTTTGAAATATTTGTTATATTCGATATTAGAGTAAAAGTTGATGAAAATTAAACACAAAAAAATTATAATAAATCAGTGACAGTAATTATAACAAGAAATTTATTTTCATTAGAAAATAGTCTAGTAAATATTTATTTTAAGATAGAAATTTTTTATGAGTTTTGTATTTTTTATGAATCTTTCTCAATTGAGATTCGTAGGGCTAAGTTAAACTTTGTTCGAGCAATAGTTCGTGAAGTTTAAAGCTTAGTTTACTGACGTTGAGCCAAAGTAGACAATTAATCAAAGTATATATTTAATAATTTCAAACTCTTATATACTAGCCTTTTATAAAAGTTGCATAATGACGTTGGAAGTTATGTAATCACATTTACCAACAAGTTTCAAGACTTACATATTACTATTAATTACTTTGTCCAAAGTAATTGTTACTTTTTATCGTATTATAATAAAATAATAATTAATTATAATTTCTTTCCTTATAAACAAACAAAAATATAGAATTTTGTTAAAACAAAAGTAGTGAGATTTGCTCTATCTTCGTTGCACCATCCTATTTTTGTCACGTTTTATTTTCATCGTAAACTTACATTACTTATAAGTTAATAAATAAGCTTCGATCGATATTTTTGTATTTCTCTGGCTTCTAGAATCCTCTAAATCTGTTCCACGACTATATTAACATTCTATATATATAATACAAAAGAATTTCGATTCACTTGTTGAATCAAACCATTTCTATTTCGAATAACTGACGTCGTTTCCAATACAGAGAAATATTTGTCTTCGGGGACAGGATAGAAGATTGGGTACAGAAAATAGGAAATGATCCTCGAGAGGATGAATAGGATTATTGATTGAAATATGCAAAAGTGTATGAATAATATTTAAATATTGATTGATTGTATAATATGAATAATTTCTATTTTTTTTTTTTATAAACTATAATTCAACATTTTGACCTAATGCATTTTGATGAAATGAAAAATTTTTACATATTATTTTCTCAACAAATTGGAATAGAAATTTAAATTGAATAAAAATATTTGTAAATAAATAAAATTTATTATAATTTAAATTGTATGCAACAAATTTTTCCCCAAAGATTTTTCTGATCAGAATTTCAATCTGAAATTTCATAAAAAAAAAACGTTATCGATTTCAAAGTTTTGGCCGCAATGTATTTCATGCTACAATAACATACCTAAGTTATTCTCCTTTCATTTCTATTGGAATTTCTCCATGCACAAACATTTCCATCTTTCCTTCTTATTTGCATCCATAAAACATGGACCGTGTGTTCTCGCCCGATCCAACGTGCATAAACTTTATTATATTTTTATATTAAACTTTACTTGTTCCTTCGTCGCATAATACCTTGGAAAGAAAAGAGAATGGAACAGAAACAATGGCGATCGACGAATCGCATCGTGATTGGTTAATGCTTTTCGTTAATAAATCGTTAACAAGATCAAAACGAAAATTTTTGCAAAGGAAAAAGTTACTTGAAATTACCTCAGAAATCTCTAGTTGCATCGTTACCTGACTTTTGGAATCTCTGGACTCTGTAGCGATGGGTTTAACTCGCGCAACATTATAAAATAATGTACAACTATCTTGTGAATCACCGACTTAAATCCATCACTCGAGTCGACTCCCAATATCGTTTGGAGGCTGCTTATGCATGGATAGAAACCTCGATGGTGGACATAACAGAGTAACGAATCTGTCGATACGTCTCTAATTCCCCACGTGCTCGGTTTATTCGGAAGGAGAGACGTTGATCCTTGCATTAATCCGAATCAATTTCACGTTCGGTACGTACGACGTAATGTCAGTTTTGAATATTAATCCGAAACACATTCGTATCGATGTTTGTGTATGTGTGCGTATATTGATAGATTATAACCTTACACGCATAGAGGAATAATGCATTCTGTGACGATTTGAGCGAATTCAAAATCGAGGAATATAATAATTTATATTAACGACTGCAGCTGCAGATTGTCAAGGCTTATGAATATAGAACAGTATCCACTTTACCGTCGAAAGGTCATCCGGTCGAAAGTAAATTTTTAATTTATCCTAAAATGCTGAGAAGTCAGTCTACTATATTTTTTTCAATGAGAAGTGAATCTGAATATTCTCGAGAATAAAATCTTCCGAGGTGTTTCAATTGAAATTTGAAATTGAAGAAATAATCAAAAAAATTCACTTTAAAAAAAAAGTTAAAAAGTGAATTTTAATTCGATATTTGTCACGATCATACTTATAAAAAAAAAATATTCATTTCCAAATATACCCAAGAAGGCCAAAGAACCGAATTCGATCAATTACCATTTATCCTCTCAGGATCCATTCACGATTAATTCCCAGGCAGGAACACAACTCCATCCAGGATTCACCTTCACAGAAACAAAGGTACTCACACGGTGAAATGATAGATGAAGCAGATCCATCCGCCTGGGTGTTCCAGGAACACGTACAGCCTCTCCTGAAACGTCTTCCCCTTCTTGTGGTGGAACACGTACTTGGCCTTGAAGGCCTGGTCGATCGGCAGATAGATCGGGTAATAAGGGTCTGGGACACCTGCTTGGTTCAAACTCGGCGGCTCCACTTCCGCCGCGTTCATATCGTTGTTTATTATGTCGTCCTTGCTCTTCTTCCGCCTGTACTTCCTCTTCATCGGCGTGGGCACCCTCTTGTGATGCGCCTCGCCGAATCTGGGCGATCGGAACCGCCTGAGGAAGGTGAAACGGCGGCCAGGCGAGGAGGCAGCCTCCTCCATCTGCGCCCCGTTGTCCTCCGTGTCCTCCGTCTCGCTCCCAGGCGTTTTCAGCGCCGCGTCCTCGGACTCGAGGCAGTGCTCCGCGATCAGCTCATCCTCGCTCGCCTGGAGGGCCGCGTACGCGGCCGCGGCGCTCGAACGCTTCTCCGTCAGCCTCGAGCATTGGTCCTTGCTTCGTGGAAGACTCTCGTTGTTCTCACCTGGACAGTTTTTTTTTTTCCAGCACAATTGGCCCAATTGGCCTGTCTTCCGATTCTTCGTCGCCTCTTTTATTATTATTCTCGATTTTCTCTACGCTTTTTTTATTTTCGATTCGTACGAAAGGAATTGGAAAGGTATTGACCGAGGGTGTTGATATATTCGAGGGACGCATTTTTCAGAGGAGTAGAGTAGTTAATGGAATAAATGGAATTCAGAGATAATTTATCTTAATTTATGTACGAGGCCAAATGTTCAAAGGTTTTTTTGCTAATGAAAATGAAAAATTGAAAAGATACCCTCGAAAATCGTCCTGTGAATATATCAACTCGTTAAATCAAGGGAAAGAGTGGTTTATTTAGGTTCTTGGACGAAGTGAGTCTTCTTGAAAAATATAAGTTTATAATTTGTATGGGGACAATGCTCGGAATTAAGACGATTTTGCTCATCATTTTTATTTATTAATATTCATATTCATCGAGTGTAGATTCAGCTTAAATGGTCGAGTACGATCGGGTTTTGTAATTGGCTGCTCACTTTTTTGGAGGAGAAAATTTGCTTATCATCGATTAGATATTTATAACAAAATATCGAAGTACATGTAAATAGTTAATGTTACTAATACGATATTTGTATTAATTAAGAAAGATGCTATGGAATCTTCTTCGACAAGTATATCGATTGATCAGACACAGATTTTTGATAAATCATATTCGCAGTAACGTTGCATCGACAAGAAATTGGAAGCTCGATGTGGCTTATATGATCTGAATTTTGTGACACGGGGAAACAATTAATTTCTTTTTCCTTCGAACAAGTCTGGAAATTTCAAGTTCATCGATCAACATGGATATTTCGAGAAAGAGTCTTTTAATAAAAAATACATATCTCTATTCTCGACAATTTCGTTCGATATAAAATTTTATTCTTTTAATATCTTCCAACATTTGACTATGGATCACTATTTTCACAAAGAGCAATTATATTCTTTAATTTATTTCATTTCTCTCTCAGTATTCTATTTTATTAACGTGCAATTTCTTGATAGAGAAATTATCACTATATATTCCTAAAATTTAATGTAGTATAAAAAAAAGAAAAAATTTCGAGACAAAAGACAATATTAATAATTTATTTCCAGTAGGAAACGATCGATACGAAAAACATCCATAAGAAAATAGAAGATTCGAGAAAAGATTTCCATAACCTTCGAGAAAAATCATTCTCATCACGCAACATCGTCCTTAAAACATTTTCCACTATAAAAAGCAATTACCCGATAAGTTAACGGTGTTATAAACACTTCCAATCCCACCCTGCTATATAACAACGTACTATAATAAAAAAGAAAGCGTAATGTTTGTGATAAAAAAAAAAAATGAAAAAAACAAAACTATTTTTCATTATAATAAACCATCCAGATCATGCGATGATGAAATATATCGACAACGCTATTATCTTATGGTAAGCCAACGTTTTACGCGAAGCGATAATATTTATAGTCCTTTTTTTTTTTAGCCAACTATGGTATTTTCATTGCGGCCTTTGTTCCTTAACAGAGATCGTTATCGAAAGTATGTACCATGTAAGCGCGAACGACTTCAATTTTCCATTACGGGTGGTAAGACAGAAGTGAAACGCTATTTAGATAATGTTTAGATAAAGATATTTCACACGATGCTACGCGCACAATCGATGAAATTTTGTTATCGCGAAAGAAGAGGCGACACGTGCATCTTTCTTTGCAGGTGTTAGAATTTTATAATTAGTTGGTTAACGGAAAAGTTGTTGCCATTTTTTATTATAATTTTGTGCAAAAAGTAGAATCTTTTGAAATGTAAATTCAAATTTATCATATTTTTAATATGATATTTCATTTTTTTTTTAATCTAGTAAAATTGTTTCAAATGCCAATGGAAAAAAAATTGAGAATGATTCGCGAAATATATATCAAATTTGAAAGATCTCATTCAAAAGAATAGTATACTATTACTGGAGTTTATTGATGAACAATTAGACAAGTATAAAGAAGTATAAAGAATATTGTGCACTCGAATACCGTGGAAATACAAGACATTTCGTATGCACGATTATGACGTATGTAGCGAGTAGAGATTCTAAAAATAAATGGAAATAGAAATATGAATAGAACAAAATGACGAAATACTTCGAAAGGATCGATCATTCGTATTTTCTGCATAAAAAAAATCCAAAATTTTGAATTAAAATCGCGAAAATTTTTTCCCTCTCATGTAATTAATCAAACAAAGAAATTAAACGGGGAAAAAAAATCTAGCCACTTATTCTGATAGATAGATAAAGCGGGAATTATTCAGGAATATTTGATCCAAAACCGTTGGATATTTGCAATTCTAATTAGCAGTCTGTGTAATACCTGATCCTATATGACATTTTCTCTCTGTCATTTTTTATTTCTTCTTCTTCTTTCTTTTAATTATAAAATTATTATCTTTCCATAATAAATTCGATAATAGTTTTTCGATGTATTGTAAAATCTTAGATCGAACTCTAGATTTAGAATTATCCAGAGTGTCATAATTCGCGCAAGATTTTTTTATGGCCACGAGTGTAAACGAGGACAACGAAAATGGTTGGGAGATTCGATTATCGACCGCGTACGCGGTGGCTATATTTCTGAGCATCAATTGAAGTAACGAGATTGCTCGATATGTCGCTCCGTGTATATCGGTTCGCTTCTGCACACCGCTTATCCGTCATCGAAGATCGACCGAGTGAATATTGGAAGATGTATATTTCACGACGTGATTTCATTAGTAAGCAAAGATTTTTTTATTACGATAGAGAGTATTTTGTGAAAAAATTAAATACGAGACGGATGAGATATATATATATATATATATAGAGAGAGAGAGAGAGAGAGAGGGGGGAAGGGAGAGAATCTGGGCTAAATAAATTTAATTCTACGAAATTTAAATTTGATATTTTCAAAGTTTAGTTAAATTTGTAAAAATGATGGAATTGAGTGGAATTTAAGTTATCGGAAAAATCTTTTTAGAAATAGTGATTTATTAATGGTATGGAAATAAATAAATAAATAAATGAAATAAAATGTTATATAGTTGGCAATACTAGTTATAAATCACTAGTAATTTTTATAGTAATTTTGGTTCCTAAACATGGTTCTCAATTATGGTATGTTATTACATATAGGTTAATGAATTTTGTGGAAACATTAATTAAAATAAATAAAATTATTGATATTTAATATAAGTCTCGATGAAATGCGAGATAATTATAATACCGATGTTATTTTCTCTGATCTAATGCATTAGCAACAGCTGCTCATGAATATTTCGAAGGATGTTGTATGAAATTGTATTCTATCTTGATCGAGACGAGTAAAAACGATATCAGTAACGAGATGACCTAATAATTTATACAAATGCAGAACAGATTCTAGATACATACATATGAAACATATATTATAACGAATTCTATTTTAAACAGAATTAATTAGGGAATTATTGAAACTTTTATGGATGTTAAACTTTTCGTTAAAAAATAAAATTTAAATTAAATTATTTCATCAAAACTATTGTTGTAACTATATATTAATTTTTCAAACATTTTACAATATTAATGACTTACAAAAAAAATTACCTATTGAAAAAAGTTTTCTTGTTTGTTCATTGCATGAAATTGAAGTTTTTGAATAGAATAAAAGAAATGTTTTAATTTAGATATTAAGAATATACCTATTCAAAAAGTGTAAAAGCATAAGTTTTTCATTTATTAGAATTAATTCTTTTTTTTATTATTTTTTTTTTTAAATAATATAGTAAAGAAACATTTGAATACTCTTTTACTTTTATTCCTTTATAATAATAAAATGATAATTAAAACTAACTCAGTCTGAGGAAAACGAATATGATATTAAATTTCTAATATTTTTGAGGATTTGTTTGATAGAAAAGTTTAAAAGATGAAAGTCTAATTATTGAATATCTTTACTAGAAAAATCTTGAATTCTGAGAAAAATATAGTTTTGCTTTTCAATTAGAAGTTGGTAAATTTTAATGATATTTATCATTGTAAGATATTGATAATAATCTTCTCTATATTATTGAAATAAGTTATACTTTTCTGATATTTTTAATTTTTTAATCAAATATATTTTTTATTTTATAGAAATAAGTTTCATTCTATGTAAACTCTATTTCTCAAACTATATCAATATTTTAGATTTCCATAATTCTTAAAAAATTCACTATTATTCATTATCATCTCTATTTCGACCAATGAATTTTTAGATTGATTATTAAAAATTGTCATTAATAAGAATTAAAATAATTCAAAAATTTTTCCCATTCAAATTTTTTATAAAATCAAAATTGAATTATAGTATATCATAAGAATTCAGAAGTACTAATTGTTGAATGATTAATGTATCAATATAATATTTTATTCCAAAACCTTCTATTATCATTTATTATGATATTATTTATCACTATTGCACAATATTTCAAAATCTAAATTTATGCAAAATCGAATTGCTAAATAATAATGATGTCATTCATCTTATCAAATTCCTATGTATAATCATAAAAAATTGTAATTAAAGCTAATGTCATCGAATCAATTTAATCTTTTATTTTTCTTTTATTCTATACAATGATAAAAAAATTTTATTAAAACTTCATATTTCTTTGCAAAAGACTATATAAATTTAAAAAAATTTCGATATTTACAACAAACATGAAAATATTAAATTTATTTTTAAAAATTCTTCAATAATATTTTTCAATAATAAAAAAATTTTCTTAAATAAATCAAATATTTAAATATATGTACACATTTATCTACATATAAAAATATGTTAAACAAAGCTTTCTAACGAGCACAATTATATAAGAAAAAATCGTAAAAAAACTTCCCGTGGTTTTCTTCTTTAGCCGCCCAACATTATTTCCAAGATAAAAAAACCACTTGGGATTTAGATCCAAAGGTCACGTCCACCTACACACTAATTGTATACGATAGTAAAAAGAATCTGAATCCTTGATTCAATTCCATCAATCTCCAAAAAATCAGCAATATTTGAAACACAAATATAAAATTATCTTATTTGCGAATGAAAACAAAATTTGTAACCTTAAATTCATTTTCCATTCAACACATGTTATTAAATCAAATAACGTCAAAAATTTATATGTAACAAACTATTAAACGTAACATTAAATAATGATAACTAATATAATCAAAAAAATAATACAAGATAAAGCAAAAACGAAAAATAATACCCTTCCTTGATAGAAACGTACGACTAATTAAATATAATATTCGAGTTCGGGTTGAATCGGGAAAATTCGGGCAAATTCGAATATTCTCGCAATCTTGGATGCCAAACTTCACACAGTTAATGCTTCGAGTCGTATCGAATCGGAAAAATTCGATTTAGAATATCGATTTTTATTGAATATACAATTTAGTAATAATTTCGGATCAATTCGAAAGTAATCGAAGATAGAAGTATATGACCAATATTTAGAGCATTTGGAATGAGTATACTATGCATACGATATAAAATATTTGATTCTAATTATTAATAAACATTAAAATATCGTGCGATTAATTTGATAAACTTTGAAGTTTTTTCTCTTGGATTTTTATTACCATAGCGCTTACATCATTTATTCGGTTAAACTAGGTTCGTGGTTACAGTTGTCCAACAAGAAGATTGGTGCATGGATCGAAATAAAAAGTTGCGCACAGTTCACGTGGACGTTAGATACCTGTACACGCTACGCCGATAAATTGCTTCGAATTATCTGCACGCTCATCACTAGCACTTCCTCTCTTCGTCGAGCAGCGACCGTCTCTATAGTGTATGCAGATAAATTCTAACGATTACATGCAATTTCTCTGCGACATTAACGAACGAAGAATCGGAAGTTCAAACGTACTATATAGCGGATTGTGAGATATTCATCGAGAACCAGTCTATCTAGAACGAAACCGATTTGCTGCTGCTTTTGAAGAAAGAAGAAAAAGAATGAAAAAGATCAGAAAGGAAGCAATTCTCTTCTTTCCTTTTCTTCCCAGTTTTATCGATATTTTCAACGATTGGACGTTTCTAACCTAAATTTTCAATTTTAACGATCTTATAAAATCTATTATATAATTTTTCCGTAAAAATGATGTAATTTGCAAAAATCTAAATCTATTGAAAATTTATATTTTTGGAAATATCAATGGAATCTATTTCCATTCCAATTCTTAATACATTTGATAACATTATTCATCTCACAAATTTAAAATTCGACTTAGTTTTCAAGAAAACTTCGATTTTTCATTTCGATCTTTGAAATTTTAGAATATTTCTTTCGGCATAATTTAGTTAGTCTGAAAATTCTGTAAACAACTTTAATTATGGAACATTGCACGAAAACGTATTGAAATCTTCAAAAAGGATTCCAATCGATATAAAGATTAAATCAACAATCGAAATCGAAAAGTTTGCAATTAAAATGCAAGCATGAAAGCATAATGCTTTCCACACGAGGAAGAATATGAAAAGTAAGACTAACTAGAATCAGGAAAGTAAGAAACGTTGACAAGGTAAGTATAAATATTAACGCAACCATCCGCTTATTCACATGGGTGAAGATTATCCACACCACCTGTGAATTTATTCGCTATCTTGTACGGATTATAGGGACGTGGTGGAAAGGTCAATGACGTCCATACTCGTGATCAATAATATAATAATTACGTTCTGATCTAGATTATATCCCTAAACAATGCGGCGTATTATCCTTGATGGCGTTCTAAGCAATGAAACTATCGTGTTATTCATATATACGTGTTCATTCATCTATATTATAGATATATTATAGATGAATGAAGAAAGTATTGTTAAATTTCTAATTTGAATGTAAGTTTAATATATATAAGTTTAATTATACGTATATATTATAACATTTATAAACAATATAAACAATATAATATGTAATATTTAAAAATTAGGTTCGATCAAATGCAGATTCAGTTCAAATAATTATACTTATTCAAGAAGTTAGTAAATTCTCTGTTTCGAGCAACGAATATAAGAATATAATTTTATACACTACAAGTAAAAAAGAATCGAAATTCTCTTTATGAAAGAGACAGTATAATTAACGAAGGTAGATAAATTCTTTTTTTCAAATTACAATACAATAGATATAAATACAACTATAAAAAACTGAAAATTATCTAAATACTCTAAGAAATTTTTTTTACATAATAATTCCATTTTAATTCTCCAGACAATGAATTTCATGGATCCTTCGAACAAACATTTCAACCAGCGGACGGAAGTCTTGCGTTAAACCCAATGTTAAACCGTGAATACGAATAATTCAAGTTCCCAGCATCAACTGCAGGCAAATAAAGGTGAACAACATCTTGAAGAGAGAGAAAGATAGTTAGACACACAAAGAGCATTAGGAATGAATGTAATTGTAGTTCACAGAGGCGAATTTTCGTAGAACTAATTAGACTATGTTACCAGCACAAACGTCTAATTTGAACCGAAACTTTCTCCTATATAGTGCACATGCTTGATCAGAATATTTTTTGGTGTTTTATAATATCAATTTCCAATTGATAAAGTATTATCAAATGTTATAAACTATAATTAAATTGTTGAATATTCAGAATATGAAGATATTTGTAAGATTATAATTTTGTAATGAAAGAGTGTGTAAATTTATCTATATAAACTTTTATTATATCTCTAACTGGAAGTGATTATACATTAGCAAAATTCGATATATTTTTTTTCATTCGACTATGAGAATATCGAATAAAGAAAGATGATAATAAAGAAAACGCGAATTTTTCTTTTTTCGAAATCATTATATTGAAAGAAAAATTGGAAAAAAATGTATTCTTTATTGTTTAAACGAAGAATATTTTGATAAAGTAAAAGTACATTGTTCACTGCATTAACCTAATTTGGAAATGTTTTACCGCAACGTATCGGGATTCCTACAGCTTTGTAATTTAATTAAACGCGATACTTTTGAAATGTAATTACAAATAATACTTGTAGAAATCATTCGACAATAAACAATAAACATTTTATTCATTTATCGTATAATTCATTTATTTATCGATAAATATTTCAAATATTCAAATATTTTAATTAAAAAAAAAAGAAAAGAAAAATTACAGATATATCATTAAATTGCGTGCAAAATTCTTCATGTAAGATAAAAGAGATGTCTACAATATTATTGATTGTAAATAAATATAACTCTAGATATCCTATTAATAGGGATATTCGCGTATCAAGGAAAGCTTTCTAACCTCCCATGACGAATCGTCAAGTCGAGAATCAAGGATCAACATTGTATTTCATTCACTGAGTAACGAGAAAGTATGCATTCTTCAGTTTATCTAACGAAGAAACATCTCTTTGTTCTTATTTATTTTTAATCTAACAATAAGAATAGAATATTTTTATCGAGAAGAAATATTCTTCTTCCACAAATTTCTCCTAAAAAATGTAATCGAAAATTATAGCAATCTGGCAAAGAATAATTTAAAATTGTTGCATTCTATTTTATCACATAATTTTCCTCAAATCTTTTTTTTGTATCATAAATTATATCATAATTCACAGAATAAAACCAATATATATTTGAAAAATACTTGTTTTCCTTCACTTCCATGAATTATTTGAAATACAACGAAACACCTAAAAACAAAACTATTATTACACATGCTCGTGAAAGTTCCTTTTTTTTTTTTTAAGAAAAAGATTAATCTTTGCGACTTTCAAACTTCGAGTATAATATCAAGTAAGAAGCTAAAAATCACCTTGTTTCCTAGTTTCCAACATCAGCTGTGAAACGAAAGCCGACTAAAAGCCATCAGAGAGCTTAACTTAACTTTCAAACTGCACTTCATATCCTTTGATATTTCGATTCATATTTTTTTCTTTCCATTTTTTCTTTTTTTTTTTTTAATACTACTACAATCTTTAACATAAAATATTCGATTATCTCTTAAACACAAGTACTAAAAATAGTGTATAGGAAATGTGTTCTCAAAGTCGGTCAAACTGTGCTCACGTATCCTATTTGCGGAAGATAGAAATTCACGCATGCGTGTTTTGATCGTGTTGTCACGCTCTCTGGTCCAAACTAACGAGACACGAGCATTTCGTTTTCGAACTATTCAAACTTGAATTATTTCATTGGTTATCGTTAATTGTTGAAAAAGTTGCGCGTGTATTGTATTATTAATGCTTTCAAAAAAAATTAAATTTGAAATGGATATTTTCATAATTTTAAGAAATATCACGAATCATATTATAGGTATTTATTATTTTGAATCAAAATTATTTTATCTCGATACAACTTTCATATTAATTGTAATATTGTTTCCATTTTAATGCACAAGTATATAACATTATGAAACAACGTTCGAATATTAATATATTGGAGGCAGAATGCGTAATGTAAAATTTAATTACAATCAACAAAGGTTCTACATAAAAACGAGCACGTAATACAACACGTGAAAATAATCTCTAAGGTGAAATGTTTCTTTGCACGATGCTTAATAGTTTTGGAATATTTTTTTAGCTACTTTGAAAACGCAGTTAATGGGACTTTTACAATTTCTCTTTGAGAGCTTTGCAGACTCCTTTGTGTTTTAAATTTCCAGACTTCGCGTGAAACTTACCAACGTAATTTAATTCTTTGTAAACGAGGCATTAGATTTAGTTTCAAAGTAATCGTAAGCGACAAAATTTCAGTGCTTCTAAATATAACGAAAAATATAATAAAAGATTTTCAAATTGGAAATTTACATGGTACGTAAATAAAAAAATAAATTTAAAAATCCACTCTTTTATTTTGTATCTTTTTAATTTTATTTGAATCTAATCTGATTGATAATAGTCGTTCGTAACCTAAAAATTTTCATCACTGATTATCAATAAACAAAAAATATTTTCATTTGATATTATAATTGATTATAAAAATTTCATATATTATTTTAAAAGGAAATTTATTTAATATACATATCTCGTTTTGCTAAATAATTTCATGATTCTAGTGACTTGTTTTAAATCATTCGATAATTTATAACTACGATTCCTGATCCAAAACAAAAAATTTCCATCACCCAACCAAAAAACAAAAACCTATATAATTCCAGTAATAGATTCAGAATCATTCGATGATGATTTCTAATATAAAAAAAAGAAACTATTTCCACAATTCCAGCGGCCACTTTAAGAAATATTACCCGATCATTTCTTAATCGCGATTTCTAACCTAAAAATTTTTGATCATCTCGAAGAAAAGTTGCTAAAAACCTATATCCCCAGTTTTTTATTCCAGTGAGCAGCCAAGAATCAGCCGATCGTCACGAAAGCCGATGTCCACGAAAGATAAACAACAAGATTGCTCCCCAATTAATTCAAGTATACCTGAATGCGTGCACTTCTTATGATTTTGATGACCTTGGCAGTTGACATGGTGCTCGTGAGAATGGTGCGTGGAATGATACTGCTGGCGTTGCTGTTGCTGGTGCTGGCTGATCGGCGACTTAAGCACGCTCAGCACCAGGTCCTCGTGAGACGGCACGATCCTCGTGAGCTGCCTGCTCTGCCTGAATAATGTCTCCTGCTCCCCACGGTTCATCCTGCATCCAAGTCGTCGACGTTGCAGATAAAATCCCGGATACCATTCGTGTCTCCCTCGACCCGGACCGCTACCTAGCATAACAGCGTGCAGCATCCCGAGGCTCTCTTGCGACTCCAACTTCCATTCACCTGACCCACCACCGTCGGAAGATTTTCTCTTCTGTTCATGGTCGTCTCAGGATCTACGATCACTATTTTCTCTCTCTCTCTCTTTTTCTTCTTTCCTTTTCGATCACACGATTTTTATATTTTAAGACAAAGATTTTAAAGGAGTCTTGTTAATACATCTTTTTGAAGATGAAACGAAGATTTTGATTAGATATATTATTTATTATTGTTTATATTGGATATCATTTCCTTTGTTTTTGATGAAGTTATTTAAGGAATAGATTAGGATTTCAAATTTTTTTTATGGTTTATCGAGAAAGGATCGTGTTTCTTGGATAAGACACTTGATTTGTGAAATGTAAACGATATTTGGATATTGAAAATGTTCTTTCTGGTATAGTTTAATTATAATTTAAAGAAAAGAAAGTGATGGATTTCTAGGATCTTGGCAAAATCGGAAAACTGTTTGACGATACTATTTTACTTTCGAACTTGTTCACAATTCACAACTTTTTAAAATATATTTATTGTTCTTGAATTCGAACGCTATTTAAACACTGACATTCTGTCTCTGATGCACTTCTAATTTCTTCTTTTTTTTAACAGCCAAGTTCAAGTTTAATATCGTATCATAAACGAGTCTTTGGGACACTATCACTGTCCACGAGCATCGAGAACTGTATTCTTCGACGATCTTCCGTGAAATTCTCTTTGACCATACTTTCGTAAATTCAAATTTACGAGTTATCACATTCACGAATTCATTAGCTCTAATTTTTTCCATAAAGGGATTCATGAAAAAGTGTTTTTAACGATTCCAAAAATTCAAATTCTTGAAAAAAATAAAAATAAAAAAAAAATTAAATCTCTCTCTTCATAATTTACACATTCGATCGTGTTAATCTCCAATTTTCTTTATGCAAATCTAACCACGATTAACGAAAAAACCGGAAGATCAATCTTCACAAAACATGATTTCTGCTTGTAATTCAGATTGCAATCTCGAACTATAAATTAATTGAACGTTTACGATCTTTTTCTTTCTAGTGTGTATGAAACGATTCTGCGCTATTTCTTTTCCTTCCTTTCTCTTCTCGAAATCAGATTTCTTTCGTCACGCAAGTCTGTTCCTCCGTGATACGCTTTGGTGATTCATTCCAAAATTTTGACCAATCCAGAATTTGACGAACTCTTCAACATCCACAATCCTCAACTTCAATAATTATTCACAAATTCGAAATAAGAAATTCCTGCATCGAAGAATTCCACAATCTTGTGACACAAATCTGAATAAAAAATTTCCAGAATTCGAAGAATTTTTCAACATCTACGACATCTTGTAATGTAAAATTTACAAACTTCGAATCTCTATAAAATTTAAAACGAATAATTGAAAATTGTAATTATCCAAAGCAAGAGAGGCGTTGAGAGTTCAAAAAATTCTTCCATAATTAATTTTCACAATTATCACAGAACAATTATTATTCGCACATCCAAAAATCATCTTCCGTTCCAGAATTCGAATTCGAAGTTGTATCAGCTTCGAATTAAATTGATGATAAAAGCGTCAATAAAAATATCGTCAACAACGATAACAATTTTCTGTGGTGATTTTATTGAAGAAAAAAAATCGGATTCCTCCTTCAGAAAGTCAAGAGGGGGGGGCAAGATCTTTTCTCCCTTTCGACGTCTTTCTCCAGTTCGACGTCAGGCTCAACGTCGTGGCTCACCTCGAAACTCTTTTAAAGGGATTACACCTCTTGCTTTTCCACGCCAGCCACGTCGACGAGATTGGCATTCTCGACGAGTCTTGGATCCTTTCGTCGATCGCCGCGACACGAGCACGCGGCATTGGACAGCCAGCATTCGTCCCACGAATGGTGGACAACGGCCTGCCCCAAGGCTCTTCCAAACACTTCGAGCGAACACGCTCGCTCGAAATATTCTTCTCCAATCTCTCGATATACTTTTTATTATTATTATTATTATTATTATTTAATCGTTGTCGTTATAACATATCCTTAACTGGAGGAAGCTTCAAAGTTTGTCAGAAATAGGGAAAAGTCAATGATTTAACACATTTCTTGAGAAAAATTCGAAGGTTTTCAGAGATGCTTGCCAGAGAGAAAAGAAATTTGTTCGAATTTTTTAATTGGCTCAGTTTTACAACGTGTTGACAAAAATTACGAAAATTTAGGAATCTCTCTTCTTTGCCAATCGCTTTGGTGATCCACTTGTCGTTTTGTGTAACATATTTAACACTCGTTTCGACGAAAATTTGGACGACAACGAGGGACTACTAATAAAATTCTTCGCTAACAAACTTAACTCGATCCACTCGTTATCGTCTCGAACAATTTTTCGAAGGCTTCAAAAATGTACGAAAAAGTATCTCTTTTCCTCGATATTCTTCCCCTGAATAGCATCCTTCGTTTCAACAGACAGAAGTCGAGGAGGAATCACGCGTGTTAACGTGTGTTTACGTGTTCAGTCAAATGTTCACGTAATAACCGGATGCCTCTTTGATCTTTCCCAGAAGAGAACAGAATTCAACCTTCTTCTCGTGAATCTTTCGAACGCGATATTCCTTCCATTTCTTCTCACTCCACCCACTCGAGCAAACCTTCCCCCTCCTCTCCTTACTTTCCCCCCTTTCCTTATTTCCTTCAATCTGTGACGAGAGATTGTTTCAGGATACGGTTCTTCCCTTTCTTTTCTCTCCCTCTCTCTCTCTCTCTCTCAGACTCAGTTTCCCCAACGGAAAAGAATTTCATTCGGATTCACGGAATAAAACACCGGATGTTGCCGGTTACATAGAGCGATCCAATAAGGCGACCGACGATCCCTCTTCACTCGATCACTCTTCCCTCCCCTCCACTGTTTAACGACCGGATTACATTTCACGGAATCCCGCCCCCCGACCGATAAAATTTTAATCGAAAGTTCCCGCCGGGGGAGCGAGCTTTTGTCTGTCCTCTGACATTTAAAAAATACGAGGACAACCTATTATTTCGTTGCAATCTTTCTAAACGCGGGGATTCAATTTTCCCACCCCTTCCTTTTCTTTTTCTTTTTCTCTCTTCCTATCTCTCTCTTTCTTTCCAAAGGCACCGATCAAAGGTTGGAAAAAAATTCTTGGCGATGAATCCAGAAGTCGAGTTCGACGAGGTAAGGATTTCGAGGATTGCTAAGGTTCTTTTTTTTTTTTTTTTTTTTTTTTTTTTTTTGATTTTGGGGAAAGGGGGGATTATAAGCTCGTGGATTTTTCGTATATTTTCCCCAGATCGAGAGAGGAGATCCTTTCAATCAGTACAACTTTTTCTTTCAGATCTCACTTGAAAATCACAGTGCAATCTCTTCGACGAAACGAGACGATGATGTATAATGATCAGGATTAATTTTCCTCCCCTTTGTGTTGCCGAATTGAAAACGGGAAGAGAAAAGGGAAGGAAGGAAGAGAGAGGAAAGAACTCGAGGTCGATTTTCACGTACGTGCAATCACGCGCACGCACGTACAC